TTTTTTTTATATGTATGAAGTTGCTTGTCTGATGGCATTATCAAAACTTGTTACTGCTCATTTTTTGTAAGATGTTACGTCTTACGACCAGATGGATTTTTTTTTCTATCTGGCAACTCTAATTGCAAAGTTTTCATTAGCTTCAGAAATGATCCTATCCCACAAACTACTGATGTATAGAAGGGACACATTGTTTTTTTTTTCGTAAATTTCGACTTGAAACTTGAAGCAATTACTGGTACATCAACTTGATTTTACAAGTCTTGATTGCATGTTCATCACTCAACAACTTGCTGAACAGCCTGAGCCAAAACATCTTGTCAAACGAGAGAAGGAAATCCACTTTGGTCCTAGATAGAGTGTGTGGTTTTGTGAGGCAGTTTGACTACTCACCTTCCAAATTAGGAGTAAAGACAGGAGAGTGGATAGAAATGCCAAGAACAATCAAGCAGTTATCGTCAACACAGGCATCCCATTTGGTTCAACGTGTATTCATAAAAGATTGCATAGCATGCAGATGAACTAGATCAAGCGTAGGTAACAAGGTGCGGAAGAGTTTCTATGTTCTGGCATCAAAAAATAAAGGATATCTTACCAGAATGATTGTCTTTACCGGTACACCAATCTCGATATTGAGAAAGTAAAGAATGTCAGATAGGTACTTGAGGCATTCTTCTCTGAAAACAGATTACATAGACTAACTTCGTCGAAAACTAACGAGCAATATCCTCGTATTGCATCTGAAGTATTTCAATTACAGCCACGAAGATTGCACAAAGATTATCAAGGCTTTGGAGTTTGGAGTCAACTTAAAAATTGATTCGATGGTATCGTTGAAAATACAGTCTTCAAAAGAGAAGCAGTACATGCTATTCGGTCAAGACCGTCAAGCCTCAGTAAACGCGACTTCCTCATTTGGTGTTCTACAGATGCAGCGATACGATCCGATCTAAATAATGTCCCCAGTCATTTCCAAACAGATTCCCACAATGTCTTAAAACGTATGGAATTTCCGAGTTGTAAGCCAGAAAAATATAATTCATTTTTTCATGCGAGTTCGAAGCCGAAAAAATGAAAAAGAACTATTGAGGCTCTTCTTCGCTTCTATACAACTTTATTTTTCATAGCTGATTTTTCATTTGTTTTGCTTTTTAGGTTCTTTCCAATACACCGATTTTGGAATTTGATATGTGGTAGGATAGATACTACCTTTCATTATCAAAAACTCATTTGAATGATTATATTGATCTAAGATCTGCTGTAAGTTTAATTTTTATCAAATATAACATTTTGTTTCTGCCAAGACAATTGATGGGCAAGGCTGCAAATGAGCTGTTCTAACTTTATTCTTGATTTGGGTAATGGCAGTAATCAAGTAATACCGCTTTGAAATTTTTTTTTTGTTTACCAAACCATGTTTAGTATTTTAATAAACTATTTATAATATTTAGTCTTTTTTTTATTTGCTTTCCCCTGTTCTTGAATTGTTTACAGAACAAGATAGATCATGGACTGTATAGAGATATATATGGCAATGGCAATAAAAATCAAACATTCAACTCTTCCAACTTTCCAACACAGTAGGATCTGGTAAATTCCTGTTCAACCTTGTTGAAGTCAATTGAGTGATGATCTACAGACCGGTTTCGGATAATTACCCCATATCAGTAGAAATAACCAAATGTGAATGTACACATTCAAGATGACCAACCATGAAATACATCATTCAGATCAGTATATAAAATCGTGCAGGTATTGTTAAAAAGTTGATGAATGAACACAGGTTTTGAATGTGAGTCAATGTACCATAATAGCTGTCCACAAGAAGAAACTTGCTGTGATGTAGATATCACTAACCTATAAAAACTCAGCCCAATGAATTTCTAGAAGAAAAACTTGAAACAAATTGCAGATAGAAATACATTATTGATGAAGAAACTCCAACTGACACTTATGTAATAATTCCACACTACGATGGAATCGGCCGAGTCTACACTAAATTACATCATTTCAATCACCTCACAAAAGTGAACAATGAATTTAAAACTGTTACCCATAAACATAGCAAAAGAAACTATATGGACCATAATTTGAAAGAAATGGTTTATACATCTTTATTTGAACATTTTGCTGGGAATAAATACGATTTTAAAAACGATTTAAAAGAAAAGATTCAAAAATATCTGATATATTTTTTTGAAGGTGTCCAGAACGCAAACTTAACATATTGTAATTATTCTCAGAAGATGCACAAAAATGTGACAGATATTATATACAAAACAAACAATGAAGTGTATTCTATTTAAATGAAATATCTTTGAGAAAGAAGGTAGGGAAACTCGAAGTATTTCTAGAACTCGTGGTTTCAGTTGACACGGCCTATATTTTTGTAAACACGTTCTGTCAAATACAGAAGCGTAGAAGGGCCAAAGATTATTTGATCCACCACAATTTACGTTTTTCTGTAGTTGAAAAATCACTGTCAAAGAACAAACGAAATTGAATGGTTCAACGATGATGTTAAAAAACTTCAAAACCAACCCACATCACTAAATGATTTGTATTTTACTTTCAGATCTGATGATTTAGGGTCGGTTTCACAATGTCTGGTCCCTAATGATTGGAACGAATCCATTGGTTGACGATTAAAATGTGTTTCACCTACGGTGGTCAAGCATTTACCTGAAGTAGTCAACTTTACTATAACACAATCCACTGGTTAAGAACTGACCAAAAGAAAATAACCCTACTTTTCTATTTGTTGATGGTGTTGTACGACATAAATGCATTTTTCTGATTGATTCGGCCGTTACTTGATGAAGATCCATAGTAATTTCACAAACTACACCTATACGATTTCATCTCCACAAACTTTATTGAAAAAATATATCACAACATGTTTCGCTAAACATTAGCTTTTTCAAGTGATTAATCACTTGAAACGCTAAACATTAGCTTTTTCAAGTAATTAATCACTTGAAACGAAACGTGTTGTGATATATATTTTCAATAAAGTTTGTGGAGATCAAATCGTTTAGGTGTAGTTTGTGAAAATAAATGCATTTAGTGACGATGAAGAAGTGGTACGGCGTCCAAAAGTAATTAGACCTAGAACAAATTTCTTTGAAGAATTTGATCAAAAGGACTTTTTTGACCGTTTCCGATTAACCCGTAGAACAACAGAGCTTATTGTAGAAAAGATTAGAGACCTCATTGAGCATCTCACAGAAAGGTTTGTTTCAAAACTCCATTATATTATACGTATTACTCGTATTATGTAATTTTTTTTCCATAGAAATGACTGTTTATCAGCAAGTGATCAAGTTCTTCTGGCTTTGAATTTTTATTGTAATGGTTCGTTCATGAGAACAGCATATCTGAGTTAAACTTACTCTATTTCACAAATTGCCAAGCTTTTGTCTCTGGATAGAGACTTCGCCTGACGAAGTCTCTATCCAGAGAATAAAGCTTGGTGATTTGTGAAATAGAGTAAGTTTGTTTTTTGAATGTGTTTGAAAGTCCCGTTAGTCCCTGCCTAGGTAGACTAGTAAATTAACGTATTTTAAATTGAGGGAATCGTTGATTACTGCTATATATGAACCTCACCTTCAGCTGGGACTCAACGATTTTATAACATCAATTGAGATGAACTTGGATTAAGTCAACCCTGTACCCTGCAGCCTGCAGGGTAGACTTAGCATCAACATCAAAGAGATCAGTGGAAGGTAGAACAAGCTACTTATTCCACATATCTATTCGGAGAACTAATTCGTCTCAGAATTCTCTTTTATGTAGAATTGTTCGCAACACTAACAAGTACAACATCCCATTAAAAATTAAAGACCATTTTGAAACGTATCACGTAGTTTTGCTTAAATTAGTTAATGCCGATGACTAATAAACAATTTTTTGTATTTTTCACCTTGATATTTATAATTTTTTGTTACAATTGAAGGTTTCAAAATATGAATTAAGTTTGAGTCAAAGTTAAATTGTTACTTTGATATCAGGAGCTTTACAACTTATCAGTTTATTATGTATTATGTAGTGATGAATTATTTTATAGTTTTATATAAGATCCGCTTCTTACAACTTTTGTTCTTGATTTCTGAATAATTCCCCCATTTGTTTCGATTTCTTGGCTTCCCTGATGATTATTACTGGTGTGACAACTGAAAGGCTTTGATGAATACAAACAGTCCTGTCAATGAGGTCATATCATCAACGTGTTACAAACACGCGGTTGTAACTATGGCCGGTAAAATTATCCGCCTAAACTTTCATCACATTTTTGAGTAATTAAGTGTTATAAACAAATTATAGGGTTAGAATTCATTTCTATATTTCTATACTAAATATCACATTTTTGCATTTCTTCACTTCTTACATTTCGAAAAACTTTTCTATTGAAAATGATGAAAAGTGATATTCTTTTTTCGTACATTATTTTGTAGATCAAAAATAACCTGCTGAAATAACGATAATAGTGACCGTGCTAGGAGTTGATATTAAAAGGTAAGACCTCATTAATCCAAAGCTCGCACAAGTTTTGCCTTTTGAGGGTTGTTATTAATGGGGGGTTGTGACAGCTCGTTAAAGGAAAAAAAAATTTAAACAGATTTTTCTTCAAATACACTTATACCTGCTCTTTATGAAACGACATAATTTTGCAATGCGGACTAGAGAAGTGACAGAATTTATTGACGGATCACCCTGTAGCGCTTTTGAATACTTAATGAGATTTTATTACTCTACACTCTTTTGAAATAGACTATAATAAGTTTTGATTGTATTTAAGAAATAGTGGACATAAATATACAATAAGCTTGTTATACCTGTCAAACTTGTTATGTATGGGTATTCTGTTACTACTTAAAATACTTTGTTGGAAATTTCCATACAGTAAAAAGAAGAGAATATGGTCAGCGAAATTTTTTCTATTAAAATATTTGTGAAAATCAAATGCTGTCAATGTTTTGAGTTGAACCTTCTTTTTTAAGGTGATGGTACCACAGGTGTGGTAGTTCTTGCTGGAGCCTTGCTCGAACAAGCTGGATCTCTTCTTGATCGTGGAATCCATCCCATCAGAATAGCTGATGGCTTTGAATTAGCTTGCCAAACTGCAGTTCAGCATTTAGAAAAAATTGCTGAAGTTTTTCCAGTTTCCGCCGAAAATACAGATCCTCTTATCAAGGTAGCCATGACCACTTTGGGATCAAAAATCATCAACAAATGTCACCGTCAGATGGCAGAAATAGCAGTTAATGCAGTTTTAGCTGTTGCCGACTTAAAGACTAAAGATGTTAATTTTGAACTCATTAAAATGGAAGGAAAGGTAAATATATGTTTGAATGTGATATTTTCTTCAGAGTGGACAATATCCCTATACTGAAAGTAAAATTAAAAATGAATGACAAAAATATTACAAACAATTCAGCAGTTTTGTCTCGTACTTCTGTTTAGATTCATAATCTGAACAGAAGTATGAGACAGTGTAAATAAACTAGAAACTTTAACTGCTTAACTGCTCTCGAAAGAGACCAACTCATATTATGAATTATATACATTTTGATAAAGAAAAGCAAAATATGCACCCAGAAAGTTTTAGAATAGTAAAATGGCGTAAAAAGAAACCCATTTGAAAGCATCTATACTGTCACATCACTACTCATACGAGGTATGTTATGGTCTGGTATATATGATCTTACCACTTTTTCAATACCTAGGCATCAAATCCGAAGAAAAAGTATTGAAAACATTTGATTTCCCCTTTACAGTACTTTCAAATGAGGAAAGTATAATATCTCGAATCTACAACAGAAGAACTACATAATCAGCAAATTAGAAAACAAGACAGTTCTGGCTATAACAAAGTTTCAGTTTACTTATTGATGAAATGTTTTGTTCACATTGTAGAATTACTGTGTGACAAACACTTTTCAAGAAACAGGAAAATACCTATATAATCTGAAACTGGCAATCAATAACCTTGTTTGAGAAAAGGTGATCCTGAATTATTTTAAATTTATCAACTTCTCGAACTCGCTCTCAAAACTTGTGTATATGATGGAGTTGTTGATTTGTTCAAGCTAATAAACTGTTAAGTAAAAGCCAGAATGGCTTCTTTGTAGCAGAAACATTGAAACTACCCGTTTTGAACTGACAAATAATATATACAAAATACTACTGAATAAAATGGAGCACTATGATATTCAAAGTCTCGCTCTGATATGGTTTGAATCATATGTCAGCAGTTAGAAACAGGCATTAGAAATTATTGATTACTTGACAGGTCGATCTGTACAGTCGAGAGCTTTGGAGGTGTTCATGGGAGTACCACAAGGCATTGTTACTTTGAATGAAAACATCTCCGAGAATATGAAATGTCTTGAAATATCTATTGATGAGATTGAGAGGATTTTTTGTAGAAGCGCAAATACTTACATTGCTGAAACTTTACCTTTCAAATTTTTATTCATTTGCTTGATATGGTATTTTGTCATTTGGGGCAGATATAGCGATTCCGACAGTTTTATTCAGATTTTTGTACAGGTCATTTCTTTGATATGATACTTTTCACAATTCCGGGTCTTTTGTGTCTATGAATGCATAAAATTTGTTTTTAAGAATCAACACTATTTCGAACCTCACTTACCTCATCATTCTTTTGTTACTAGACACTCCACTAACTCTTGAAAGTTTTTTTTGAAAAGGGAGCTCGTTTTTCATGCATGAAATATAAGCATGAATGAAAATTGATAAAACATTCTTATCAATCAAACAACCCCTAATCAGTTCACTTTGGAAGCTAGAGCCCTATCATATTGATATTTTTCTCAGTGAATCATTTCCTTTTAAATAATTGCTAATAAAAATATGTAATTCAAGTATTTGCATCAAACGTTTTTGTTTCCAGTTTTTTTTCAACCTTTACGTTTTAATTTTTTTTTTATGTATAAAGTGCAGTAAAGTTATTATTAAACATGACTGGGATTCCCATATTTTTCTATATCAAGATGGAGTAATAGAGAGCCAAAAACTTTCTTTCCCAAAAAATCAATCACTCTGGAAATAATAACAATGTTTTTGTATAAGAACAAATTTTGAGAATTTTCTATTTCTCGTGAAGAAAAGATTGCTTCATAAAATTTATTTATTCAAATCACAATGAAGAAATACCTTTATTATAACATTGTAGCTTTGTTACATGATTCATGCACTTCATACGAAAAAATTGAATATAAAACTATTGTATTTTTTGTATGGAACTGGGAATTGTTTATCGCCGATTAGTTACATTCATTAACTAATAAACTTAAAATTTCAGTTCAACACAAACTTTTTGGACAAATTTCAATACTTCCTCCAATGAATTATTGGAACCTGATATTTGTAACTTCTACAGAACTTTTTTTGTAGCCTGCATGTTACCGCTTAGTTAATTTTATGGGAAAATCTTGTAATATTTTATTGTAATTATGTTTGAACTGGATACAAAATATAATTTAATATTCATGAAAAGTTTAATTCAAAGACGTTAATGATTTTAGGTTGGTGGAAAGTTGGAAGACAGTACACTCGTTAAAGGAGTGGTCATTGACAAGACAATGTCTCATCCACAAATGCCGAAAGAATTGAAGAATGTAAAGTTAGCTATCCTCACCTGCCCATTTGAACCACCAAAACCAAAGACCAAACATAAGTTGGATGTTACCAATGTTGATGAATATAAGGAACTACGACAGTACGAACAAGACAAATTCAAAGAAATAGTAAGAGAATGATAATTTATGTAAATATATATTGTTTGTAGAGAAATTGTATTGAATTTTTAATGTTTTAATATTTTCAGGTTGGATTGGTAAAAAATGTTGGAGCCACTTTGGCTATCTGTCAGTGGGGTTTCGATGATGAAGCAAATCATTTATTACTTCAACAGGAGCTTCCAGCAGTCAGATGGGTGAGTGGAATTTCTATACTTAGTTTTTGTGATACACCTCTGCAGGTTTATATGTTCAAAATCAGTAATAACAGACACCACCTTGAATAACTTTTGTTAAAGACACGACTAAGAAATTCTGTTCAAATCAATGATACATTAAATTAGACAAGTTTGATTGACAACCTTTGCACTAAACTTTCCTCTATCATCTATGCTATTGAAGCTTTGAAGGAAACTGTTGACTTTGTGGTTTTAATGACAGTATACTGTGTGAACTTGAACTTGGGGCAGTAGTCATGAACTCAAAATAATAATTAATAATACCGCGATGGTATATATCTACCTCTTAGGGATAACCTACAATAACCATTTTTTGTCTTCAAGAAAAATTGGCTCCTTCACGAAGTGGTTTTAAGCAATACAACATTAATCCTTACCCAATTAAGTACCTCAAATACATTGTGCATTCAATATAGATCAATATGGCCTTTAACAGCATGTAATTTAAATTAATTTTTTCAAAGATATTACAGCTATAAAATGTAGGGACATAGCGGTTGCGGCGGTACCGGACGGGGTGCCGGCGGCGCGTGCTTATAAATAGCGCGCCAAAGGCCGCGCTTCACTCTATAGCATGAAATTTATTGAATTCAGCTGTCCATTCAGAAAAGCCTCTTTGTCATTCATAAAAAGTTGAACATAGAGTTATGGCTCTATAGTTATCTATATTTTCTTCAACTTTGTATGTAAAGGAATAGACAATTTTAAGTTTTGAAGGAAATATAGGAAATAGTCCTTTTTGAATTGACAAATTTATGACATAGGTTACAGGTATTGTAACTTTTCCACAAGCTTTAGTTTGTCATTTGAAATCTTGTCACAACCAGAGGACTTCGAATTTTTTAAATTTTCAATATTTTTTCATTTCTGGTTATTCTGCTGGTGTAGAAAAAGTCAGTTTGACGATATTTCAATTTTTGAATGAATATAATGATAATCAATATAGTTCAGAAGACTAGATGTTATATTTGCTGCAGTAGATGTGAAAAACCCATTGAACTCATTTGCACAGCTGTTTAGTTCCAATTCATTAGCTATTAGGCTTTATTTCAACGTCATTTTTCCTATAATGCTCTAGGTGGGAGGACCAGAAATAGAACTCATAGCTATCGCAACTGGAGGACGCATTGTACCTAGATTTGAAGAGTTGAGCCCAGAGAAACTTGGCACTGCTGGTCTAGTTAGGGAAATATCTTTTGGTACCACAAAAGACAGGATGCTGGTCATTGAAGAGTGCTCAAATTCTCGAGCCGTCACTATTCTCGTACGTGGCGGCAATCAGATGCTGGTAGCTGAGGCAAAGAGGAGTTTACACGATGCCTTGTGTGTTGTTCGAAGTTTGGTTCAGGTAAAGTATATTTTTATTTGTACTAATAATTATGAATTACAATGATCCTAATTTTGTAGAACTTCTTGAGAAAATAGTTGAGAATAACCATGAAACATTGTCAGTTTTATAGTTGAAGATTTTTCTAATAGAAATAATTTAGAAATTCTTTTACCTTAAACCAGAAGATATTTTACATTTGTCTCGAATTTGTTGATATTGTTCAATATTTTAATTTTGAAAACCTATAGACATAAGATGGATATTTTTCAGCTACTTATCTATCTAAGATTGAATGCTGAAATTTTGTGTAATTTTGGTAATTATGAAAATGTATGCACTTTGTGAAATTATTCATATGCTTATACAGATACAATACACATTCACATATATGAGTTGCATACACAGTAAGTTATATGATTGATTACCTTTGAAAGTTCCTCTACAAGTTTTCTGATATTTCATTTGAATATCTGAAATCCCATTCAAAATGGAACGAGAAACCCAAGGGACTGTAGCCTCCTTGTATGTTCTTGTGAAAAGACTTGATGGTATATTGGGCCACAGACTGTACAGGAAATCAACACACACACACAGACAGGTATGAACAACAAAAACAACCATCAGCCACAACAAAAGAGAGGGGTAATTAAAACGTTGGTGAGAGAGTACAACGTATCGTGATCCTGAGAGTCTTCCTGAGGAACTCAAAATGCCTTCAAATGAAATGGGTACAGCGAAGAGGAATTTAAGTGGGCCATACGACCCAGAAGAAAATGCCAAAGTAGCCTCAGCTAGGCTGGTTGAGGGAAAAGCTTTACTTATCTATGTTAAAAATGTTATAGACTGGATTTTGTAAACTTGGACAAACATGATCTGAAATCTATATTTAGACCAACAAAAACTATCAGACAAATTCTAAGGTCAGCTGAGTACCCCAGAGAACCTTCAGCAACAACTGGGATATACCGGATTTCTTGTAGCTGTGGGTCAATCTATATTGGAACCACGAAAAGAAGTGTAGGTACCTGTCTCTCTGAACATAAGAGAAATTGTCAACTTGGACAAACCGACAAATCAGCTTTAGCCAAACATGCTCTTAACAAAGAAGGCACTCTCAAAATCTATCCAAGAGTATGTAGAGAGGCAATAGAAATTCAAAAACACGTATAATTTCAATAGAAAAGAAGAGGCAATGAACATTAATAAAATTTAGCTACCTGTCTTTAAGGGTACACAAATAAGGTAAAATAAGCCATGCCCACTAATAATAATGATATAAATAGCGCAAGTGTCAAATATCAGCATCGTAGTTATTGCGTTCAGAACAAAGGGAACAACTCAAGCACCAACTCAGGCACTGCAACCGTTACCACATTGCCTTTGAGAATGTCTGCCGCAGTAGTAGAAGAAACGTCAGACATAAAAACCTGCAGACCTCTTGTGGATGGTGAATGAGTGTATTCATGAAAATAATTATAAATCTTCACCAAATAGGCTTTACTTCTAATTGGCATTTAACTACAACACTGGTTTCTAAATTACAGTGCAATTTAGACAAAATATCGACCTTAATTAACAAATATTACCAGTTGATAAACATGTAGTTTTAAGAATAGGTAGCCAGCAGGTGCAAACCAGGTAAAATTATTGTTAGTAACAATTTGACTAATTCCGGTGAATTTTCCATTAAAGTTAATTTAATGGTTGTGAGAGATTAACTTATTGATTTTTGTTCAATAGGAAATTAGAAAAAAACCCTGGAATTAGACGAATCATCAGTAACAATAATTTTACCAGCTTTGTACCTGCTGGAAACCTGGGCTCAAATCTATCTTTTTACCAATTAATAATATATGTTTGATGAAGTCAATAATTTGTATAAATTGCATTGTATTTTAGTGTAGAGTACAAGTTCAATTGAGGAAACTACCACTGTAGTGGATCACATATTGGATATAAAGTCTGTATTGTGAAGATTTGTAAGTATTATCATGAATAGGTATTGAAAAAAAGTAAATGAGTGGTCATATTACTGTGAGATAGAATATTTAAATTTTTTGACAAGTTTTCAATATGCTTATTCCATACAGTTGCTCATCTATATAATAATTCCCAGAAATTAGGCTACTTGATGTAGCTCTTTTTTGTTGTTGTGTTCAAAATAAAATAATGTTCATTTTCTGGATCAGGATACCAGCAATTACAATTAAAATTTACGTTTTTTAGAGCATTAAAATCATTATAGGCTTTGGCAGAAAACAGTGGATTGTCATCCGTTCATGTTCTTGGAGAATTGAAGGTGAGTGTTCTTTCGCCGAGATGTTTACAGATCATACATTTACTTTTCATTTTACTCTTATATTCCTTCACATTATTGTTAAAAAAAGTGACACATGCACATTTTTTTTGTGTTAAGGGTATCAACAACTTTGGTCAGTGGCTGTGGGTTCTGGGTAGGTTACGTTTATAACTCTCTGAGTCATTTACATGACATAGCCATTTATTGTTACAACAACTGAGTTGATACACCTTCAATTGTATAAATAAAAAAAAAATTTGGTTG